CCGAACCCCTAAACCCTATACCCTGTAGCACAATTCTCATCCTCTTGGAGGTTCATGGGTAGTTATTAGCTATCAGTGGGGTTACAAGTAAGACGTAAACTATCTGTAGTTATAACCCATATTAGGGGACTTATAACCCCCACTTATAACTACCCATGAACCTCCTAGCTGCGTCTTGTGGGTCCTTTGCAGTCCTAGCCAGGCGGTCGGCTGGCAAAGCTACGCGAAAGTCGCGGGCATGAGAGGTGTTGTAGGAGTTTAGCGTTTAAGAAGGGTTTTAGGGTTCCTTCAGTTGGTTTTGGACTGCATGGAGTTTGCTCTTTGCTTCGGCTTTTGGACGGTTTTCTAGGAGTTGTATGGGCTTGATAAGGCGTTGAGAGGGTTTTCTCAGGGGTTTCTACGGTTAGGAGGCTCCGCTGTGGATCAACCAGGCTCACCTGCAGCCGGGATCCTGTCTCACCCACCAGACCCCCCACTGCGAATGCAGAGAGAAGAAGAGCCTTCCGGCCGTGCCTGGGTTGTGTTTCGCCCTTTTTTCTGCCATTTAACTTCAAACCCTAAAACCCTAAACCCCTAAACCCTTAAACCCCTAAGCCCTAAACCCTGGGCCGTGTTTCGCTTTTTTTCGGCCATTTGAGTATCGGGGTTGAGGGTTGGAGGTTTCAGGTTTCAGGTCGAGGTTTTTGGGCCTTAGGGCTTCGAGTTCAAGGTTTTAAGGTGAAGGTTAGGGTTGAACATTTTTAGGTTCTTTAGGGCTTCGGGTTCAGGGTTTTAAGTTTAAGGTTCGGGTTGAAATTCTTAGCTTGCTTTTTTCAGGAGTTCTTCAGGGTGTGTGTGCGTCTACCCGAAGTCGAACGGCCTGTAGCACTCTCGATTCATGGAACCGTGGAATGATAGTAGAACATAGATATTCGGACCTAACTAAGCCCCAAACTCTAAACCCTAAACCCCTAAACCCTAAACTCCAAAACCGAAGCCCGAAACCCTGGGCGATGACAGGGTCTGGGAGGTTCCTGTCCAGCGGTGGTGGGCGGGATTGACCCACCAGCGCATACACAGCGATGAGCGCTGACGTAGCGGGATCAGACTACTGTGCTTTAGGGGTTTGTCTGTGTTTTTTTGCATTTTCATAGACCTCGAAACCCTCGCTCCAAGATTTCTGGTAAGATCCTGAGGTTCGTGGCCCAAACACTAGTCGTGCTTTCACGTGGGCTCGTGTGAGGCCTTCCGTTTATGTTACAAGTGCTCCATGGTTCGGAAACTGCCATGAAGCAGCCTGAAAATCATCATGGAGTTTACGGTTGTCGGTTTAGGGTTTAGGGGTAGGGAGGCTTTCGGAAGTAAGGTCTTGCAAGCGAAGAACATCACTGGTAACTCAAGCTCCGGCGTTGGGTCATTGACGCTATGCCAAAATGCCTCGGAGTCCCAAGCCCTGCAAACCAAATCCTTAAAAGCCTGCGCCCTATTGTTGATGATACAAACCCTGCATCAGTTTAACTAAGGACCCCAAACTATGGGAATTATGTTATACTATTATGTGTAATGCAGGGTTTATATCATCAACCGTATCACGTGGACCGAAGACAAAGCACCCAGGGACAGCATGGAGATCGATCTTGGCTCAGACGTAGCCTAATAATCAGCGCGTTTTCGGCTTTAGGGTTTAGGGGTAGCATCTATAAGGGACACTTCTACGGGTAAATGCTACTTGCATGTTCTCCCTGGTTCTTAGTAGGGAATGGGGGAATGGATCCCTATGTTAGTCCCTTAAGGTCCCCTATAGCAGTCCCCAATATCCCACTCCCCCATTATCTACTAGGAACCAGTCAGTCTTCCTCAGCCAGCTGTTTGGCACAGGATGCTTGGAGCTTGTGCTTGCGGCGGAGTTCACTCAGGAGGCCAAGGATCATTCCGGGTACTTTGCGACGATCTCCTCGTCGGATGTGCTGGGAGGTAAGAAGTACCGAAACCCAGCACCCATGGATGATGCGTCTCGTACTGAAATGCAGAAGCCTGCTCCAGGTTGGAGCTAGTTTGGGGATCATCTTGCTACTGCCACTCGCGTGATGATTATTAGTTACTACCGCCAAGTGCTGTCCATGCAGCTGTGACGCTTGCATGTCCGAGCAGCGTGTCAGGGAATAAATGGAATTCCACCGGCGTCCACAGTTTCGGTTTTGGGCTGTATCAGGATTGCATCGTGAGCGCACTCATTTTTTGGTGACGGTGAGGGATTCTGCCGATGGTTTAGCTTTGGATTTGTGTCAGAGGCAGCACGTGACATCGAGACTTCGTGAGCCAGGAAGTTATCTCAGAAGACCTGAGAACCCCAAAATGCCGATCGTAAACCCAAGATCCTACACCATGAATATGGGGGCCTTGATGCTTGAAATAGGGTCTGGGGCCGATTTTATACTATAGTTAGTATAAGGAACCCCCCAAAATTAGTATGGGTAATTATTTAGGCGGCCCCTACAGTATGCCCGGAGCTTAAATCCTCAGCTCTCATCTCGCAACATCGCGGCATCGGCAAATTCCACAAGCTTTGCGCGCAGGCTCTGCCTGTGCGTGTCCGAGCACGGCTGCGGACCCCCCAGAACTTTCCCACTTCAGGATTGCTCTCGGGGTTAACTACTGTCATGAGGGTACCGCTGCTATGCCAAAAGACTATAACAGTACTACAGTAAGGGTTAGTATACTGCGGTTTGCGGTTACTACAACAAGGGTAAAAGAAGGGGATTATATGCAGGGTTAGTAAAGTTCAGTACCCAGGTTGAGAACCTAAAGGAGGGCCTTGCTACATGTGCAGTCGAAGGTGTCGGCATCGACAAAGACAAGCTACTCTTCTGCTACACCAACAACCGCCACAACAGCTACTGCCACTAAATCGTCTACAAAATCTTGCGCTACTTTATTGTAAGACGCCAGGGAGGGAGCACCCCGCAGACTCTGCCTAGACCCTAAACCCTAAACCCTAAACCCTGAACCGGTTGATGCCTCGGGTTCCATCGAAGAGCATCTTACGCCAGTCACATGGCACATGGTGTCGCAATGGGGTTATACCGGGCCCTGGTGGTGGGCGACGTCATGGGCTTAGGGTTTAGGGTTTAGGGGTTAGGGGTTTAGGGGTTTAGGGGTTTAGGAGTTTAGGAGTTTAGGAGTTTAGGGTTTAGGGTTTAGGGTTTAGGGGTTTAGGGGCGGTGCAAGATTTCTCTCCATCCACCGTGCTACCATGAACGCTACCACTGCCACCACTGCTACCACCACCACCCCCACTACGACGCATACTACCACCAGAATGCCCCAGCCTTTGAAAGGCTGAAGAAGCCCCAAACCTTGAACCCTAAACCCCTCCAAACCCTAAACCCCTAAGCCCTAAACCCCTAAGCCCCTAAGCCCTAAACCCCTAAGCCCTAAACCCTAAGGAGCCCTAAGCCCCTAAAGCCCCAAGAAGCTAAGAAGCCCCTAAACCCCTAAGAAGCCTTATCCCCTAAACCCTAAAACCCTCAAGCCCTAAACCCTGAACCCTAAGAAGCCCTAAACCCTAAGCCCCCTAAACCCTAAACCCCTAAGAAGCCCTAAAACAGGATGTATATCAACAACTGTACTGAGCCTCAAACCCTAAATCCTAAATCCCCTGAAGCCTAAATCCTAAACCCTAAACCCCTAAACCCCCTAAACCCCTAAACTCCCTAAGAAGCCCAAAGCCCTAAGAAGCCCTGCATTTGCCCAGATCTCCAAAGGTCGGGGCTTCGGCTGCCCTCAGCGCTTCGGCTCCATCCCCGGGGCCAGCTAGCTCGGCTGGGGCCCGGGACCCCAAGAGTTGGGTTTTTAGGGGTTTTAGGGTTTAGGGGTGTTAGGGTTTAGGGTTTTGGGGGTTTAGGGGTTTAGGGGTTTAGGGGGGTTTGGGGTTTAGGGGTTTGTGGGGTTTGGGGTTTGGGGTTTCGGGCGTAGGGGTTTAGGGTTTAGAGTTTTGGGGTTTAGGGTTAGTGGTTTCGAGTTTAGAGTTTAGGGTTTGGGGTTTAGGGGTTTGTGGGGTTTGGGGTTTGGGGTTTAGGGCGTAGGGGTTTAGGGTTTTGGGGTTTAGAGTTTAGGGTTTGGGGTTTAGGGGTTTAAGGTGTAGGGTTTAGGGTTCAAGGTTTAAGGTTGTGGGTTTATGGTTTAGGGGTTTAGGGTTCTTACACAGGGTCGATAAGGGTGACTATAAGGGCTACTATAAGAGTTTAGTAGAACGAGGAACCCCCAAATCTTGGCCTAAGACCTGCAGCATGCGCTGTCTTCTATATTGTTATGTCGCATGGCATGCGCTATGGTATCTGATGTCTTGTTTTCCTGCTTGTGATGGTGTTGGGCTTAAGTTGGAAGATCCTGGCTTTAAGGGGGTCCAAGAGCTTTGTGGTGGTTCTTGTTTGGAATCAAGGGTGGTTTATCTTAGTCGCTGAGTAGGTAACCTTTAACCTTTCTGGGCCTATATAATCCTACCATAATTGAAAGGTCAACCTTTTTTGGGCTAGGGTACTCAGCCCCTAAGTCACAGGGCTTGAGGGGGGTCATGAGCAGTTTCTGGGCTGGTGGGCTTAGAGTCTTCTGTGGTGCACTTCAAGAGCCCAGGGGTTTTCTAGGGTGGTTTCAGCGTTTGGGTTCAAGGGTTTACGGGGTTTTCGGGTTCCCAGGGATTCCAAAACCCTTTAATCAAGGAATGTACCTTAGCTCTTATTGGGGCTCCTGGGGTTGATGATATAAATCCTGCATTGCCCATAATAATAAGGAATATACCATCAGTTCGCATAGTCTAGGGTCTTTAAGGTACTGCAGGATTTATATCATCAACAGTACGGCTAAGGGTAGGTCTTGTTGCTGTCAGGCCACATATTTGGTTCCACTGTTTTTTGGGACCCCCCGAGTCTAGTATCTATGAGGGTTCTAGGACTTGAAGCATGCATCCAGGTTTATTCTTGCCAAAAGCTTCAATCCAATTTATCCTGAGACTTCCACGGCAGGCTCCATCGCCGGAAGAGCCTTTGGACTCAGGCCATTTCGGGATTGTTCTTTGCTTCACACACTGGGCCCACAGAGCGTGCGGCGGCACTCTTTCAGCACTTTTGAATTTGCTTTAAGAGTAAGTTTCGCAGTACGTGATGTTGGCAACGTATTGTCCAACGTCTTGTACGTGGTATAAACCCCCAAACCCTAAACCCCAAACCGCAAACCCTAAACCCTAAACCCAATAAACCCCCAAACCCCAAACCCCAAACCCTCAACCCGAAACCCTAAAATGGTGAACCCAAGGGCGCTGCAGCCAGGAGAGTTTGACAGAATCAGCTTTGGGGATGCTGGCCGGGCTTCCACTATGCACCCCTGAAGCCGAAAATCGCACAACGGTCTTCGTAAAAACTTGGGGGTTCCTTATTACAGTTATAGTATAATATACCCACGATGAGCCAGAGCCCTACAGCAAAGCAAAAAGCTAGGATTGCCGGTGCCAGGGCTTAGAGCCCAGGCTTTAAGGGTTTAGGGTTTTGGGGGTTTAGGGTTTTAAGGGTTTAAGGGCTTAAGGGTTTAGGGGTTTAAGGGTTAGGGGTTTAGGGGGTTTTCGGGATTTCCGAAGTCCTAAGCCCGAAACCCTCAAAACCCTTAAACCCCAGACCTTCGGATCGCAAGTCCCCTGCTCCTCCAAGCAGATCAGTACAAAGGCCGGTTTAATCTTAAGCCCCAAACCCCACGTCCTAAGTTTGTCGAGGTCTCACGACATCAGGTTTATTAAATAAACCTTGCGAAACCCTAGAAACCCCAAAAATCCCATAAATCCCAGAAATCCCATAAATCCTGGAGACCCTGAGCCCTACCAAGCTTTTTGGGGCAGGTGACATCTGCGACCGCTTCGAGCAGTGGGAGGAGTGGGACGTTTCGGCCCGAGCTGGGTAGATTTGGTCAAACGAATGATACTAAGAATAAGACAAATAATAAGAACACTAATCTAGTCAGAATAATAATAGTATTAATAACAATAAGAATAAGGAATAATAGTACTCATGATCATAATAGGTAGATCTTCGGGCTTGAGGATGTTTGGGCTGTGGTTGGGTCCTTTTGATACGCAGGCAGATTGTCAATCAATTTTTTATATGGTACATAATAATCAAACTGTTGAGAAGTACATAATAATCAGCATTTCATATGTAACATAGTATTCTCCTTATCGAGCGGACAATTAGCTTGCATGTACGAGCCGTCGACATGCCACGAGCCCTGCCCTAGCCCTCCCAAACCATTTAGCCCTACACCGGAGAGCTAATATTTGCCTCTGAAGAAGTAGGAAGAATTTCAGACGATCCCCTTCGATAACATAGTCCCTGTATTGTCTAGAGATACTACAACTTACTCCATAGTGGATGCATCATCCCAAGGCGTCGACGCCGCTTTGGAAGCATGCGGCGGCCGGAAGCTGTGCAGCTGGTCGATGGAAGCAGGGATACTGTTGATGATGTAAATCCTGCATTACTTTAAGGGCCCTAAACTATGGGAATTATGGTCTATCCCTTATTATGGGTAATGCTAAGGGCTTATATCATCAATAGTAGAGGTACTCAGGGCTTAGATATCGGAGCCCGAAACCCCTAAGCCTTCGCACAACAAAAACCCTTCGGCCCTAAACCAAAAAAGCCCTAAACCTTGAAAGGGCCCTGCAAGAGAAAAGCCATCGTAACCTCGGACTCGACGTTGAGGGTCGGGAGCTTTGATCGCATGAGGCCCTGGACAGACACACGACACCCTAAACCCCGAAACCCTAATTCCGAAAAGTCCCAAAAACCTAAACCCTAAAGGCCCTAAACCCTAAAGGCCCTAAAAGCCCTAAAAGCCCTAAAAGCCTGAAAGAACTGCAACTTTTGGTGCCTTTAGGGCTTAGGGAAGTGGGGGGTTTAGCGTACAGGCCCTCTAGGGGATTCAGGGTTTAGGTTTTTAGGCATTTAGGGTTTAGGGCTTCGGGTTTAGGGCCTTTAGGGTTCGGAGTCCAGGGCCTTTTAGGGTTTAGGGTTAACGATGAGCGTGGTGGCCGTGATTAGGAAAGACTTTCGTTGGCACGCTTGGTAGTGCTCATGATCACTATAACCTTGGTCGCAAGAATAAAAGGCATGGATAGCACACCATGTGACCTATGTGAATAGGCAGGTTAAGCGACAAGCCCACATTGAAAGGGGGTCGAGGGCTGTGGCAGTCACGGCCAATGAGGGTTCCGGGCCTCATTGCTTAATATAGAGGGCCCCAATAATTGCCTATACTATTTTGGGGGTTCCTTATTAATAGTTATAGTAGAATCTACCCCAAAAACTTATTCCAATTAGTAAGGCCCTTAGATTAGGTTCATGGCCAAAGCTAAGCAGGTCAAGCCCTGAAGCTCAAGACACTGCGCCCCTCTGCATCCCCTCTCCGGCCTTCATAAACCTGCAACCTCCCTGTATAAAGCCCTTGGGTCTGCTTTGGAATATCATTATTACAGACCCTAAACCCGAAACCCCCCACGACATGAAAGCTGATACTTCGCTGAAAGCCCAGGCTGGTGTGATGGAGCACATCGGCATGTACCCGCTCGACACCGTCAAGACGCATATGCAGGTCTGGGTTCACTGGGCTCTTGGTATAAGGGTTTTTTTGTAAGCTACCATAAACATGGGGCTCCTATAGTAAATAATAGGGTTTTCCTTATAATGGTAACTTAAACTAAATCCCCTAAAAAAGGAGCCCCGTTCAGGGTGGATGGGGGGTGCAGGGCTTGGGGGATAAAAGCTTTGTAAGACCTGGTGTGACCACTTTCAAGGACCTCTTTTTTAAACTTTCTAAACCCTAAAGCCTCAGCCCGTAAACCCCTAAACCCCTAAACCTTGAAGCCTACACCCTAAAGCCTAAGCCCACACCCTCTTTCAAAGGATCGATGCTTTAGGAGTTTTTTCATGTTCTGAAAACCACCAGATCTCGGGACTGTCCGAGATCTGAGGGGGTCGAAGGGAAACCCCAAGACCCTGAACCGAAAACCCAAAACCCAAAACCCAAGAACCCTAAACCCCTAAATCCCAAACCCAGAACCCAAAGCCCAAAACCTAAACCCTAAACCTTACAAACCCAAAGCCCTCAAAGCCCTAAACCCTGTGTTTTGGGGTGCAGGAGCTGCAGATAGGTAGGGGGCCCCCTCGAATCTTCGGGGCTTCTTGTCGCAGGCCTACCCTAAACCTAAAACCCTGCCTAATAACGGTTTGGGGTTTAGGGTTTAGGGTTTAGGGGTTTAGGGTTTAGGGTTCTACACCTACTATCGGGGCCATCATAAATAATGTGAAGTGGGTTCCTTGCAAGGGCTCCTTCATGGGATACGGTAAGGGTGCCATAAGGGGTTAGCATAGGGGCCTTAACCATTGGAATTGGGTTTTGGGGTACGTTCTACTATAACTGCAAGAAGGAATCCCCAAAAATCGTATTTGTAATGATTTAGGCCCTTGACTTAAGCCCCTAACAACTCTTAGCCCTAACCCTCCCTCCCTCCCCCAACGTAGAATCTTAGAGCTTCTTGTCCGAGGCTTAGCTCGAACCTGCTTTAGAACTTTAGAGTCTCGGGGCCTATGTGAGGTGCTTTAATGCAGGGGCCGAAACAAGTAGAAATACTGTCTTTTTTTTGGGGGGGGGATGTCCTTTTTGCAGTTATTGGATAATGTACCCCCAAACCGAAGTTTAATGATGAAGGCCCTTACACTTGTAGTCATAAGTAGTATATTTACCCCGAAGCCCAATTCTTTTATTAAAGCCCCTACACTAAACCAGTATAGCACCCTTACAACATCTTTTGTTCCGTTCAGGGCTTGGGAAGTCCGAAGTTTGGGGACTCAAGGAAAGCCCTCTTTGAAGCTTTCGGGCGTGGCAACATAGATATGGTTTAAGTTTAGGGTTCAGGGTCTAGGGTTTAGGGTTTAGGGTCATAGATTGTGAAACCAACCAAGACAAGACCTTCATCACTAGACTTGGGAATAAGGAACAGCATTGGTCATTATGAGAGTTGCTGAAGGAACCGTAAACCCTAAACCCTAAACCCTAAACCGATATAGATTGCAATCCTACCCTCCGAAAAACACCCCCAGGCGCTGCGGCCGGGTGGCGCACGCACCCTCTCCAGTGTCATTCAGACCATCGTCGCGGAGACCGGGGGTTCGAAGCACTGATGTTTTGATGCTTGGGATTAGTGTTTGGGGTTTAGGGCTTAGGGGTTTAGGTGTTTAGGGGTTTGGGGTTAGGATTTAGGAATTTCAGGGACGGCGGACTAATCGCCCCCCTGCCGTCAGAGGCTTCTTTTCCGGATCCTTTAATCTTCAGGCCCTTGTTGAGACAACGGGGTTTGTTGAATAGTAGCTACCGGGGGTAATGCAGGATTTACATCAACAGTAGTTCCTCTTACCAAGTCAAACCCTAAACCCGTAAAAGCCCTAAACCCTAAGCCCTAGACCCTAAATCCAAGCGGAAGGAGGCCTCTAGGTTCCTTCGATGCGCTGAGGCGGTAAACTCGAGGCTTTTGTAAACCCTAAACCCTAAACCCTAAAGAACCTACCTTTTTAGGCTCAGGGTTGGGGTTGTCGGGCTTGTTAAGCCGAATGCTTTACGGTCTAGGGTCTAGGATTTACCTGGACCCTAAAGAACCTACCTTTGTAGGCTTCCTTATTATGATTTCTTTAGAGAAGTCCTCAAAAACGTAGGTTATATTATTTGGGGTTAAGGTAAACCCTAAATCCTACGGTTGATGATACAACTCCTGCATTACCCATAATAAGCAATATACCATACTTCCCATAGCTTAGGGTCCTTAATTATAAGGTACTGCAGGATTTATATCACCAACTGTATGTCCTCCTACCGCAATTTCAACAGATCAACCTCTAGGTTCCTGAGTAGTACCCTGTTTCGGCCCTTTTATTGCATCGGTTTTGAGCTTAAGCCCGAAACCAGAAAGCAGTACGAGAATTCCCTAAGGTTCCGGAGTAAATGACGGATACTGCCTCCTAGATGCTTACTTAGAACTGGCATCGTGTCACGTACCGCCGTCAGGGTGCTTTCCACATAAGGGTTTGTTAGATGTCGACATGAAAATGTCCGGCCGGAGCAATTGCCTCATGTGTTCTATGAGGCACGGTTTAGGGTTTAGGATTTAGGGTTTAGGGCCTAGGGTTTAGTAGGGCCTCATGTGTTCTATGAGGCGTGCCGGCTTAACAGTCGCGTAAGACTTCACGGCTCGCTTGGTATGTCAAGACACTGTAGCCCTAAACCCCGAAACTCCAGGCGAGCGCTATGAACGACTGAAGAAATGCTCCGGGACGCGGTCACGAAGATGATGAAGTGCCAGCGCGTGGAGGTGTAAATGGGCTCGATAATGAGGAGGTCTCGACGAGTTCGTCGAAGCCGAGTAAGGGCAAAACCGCGAAAGCCAAAGCCCAAAACCTAAAGCCTCGAAAGGATTCAAACTTAAAAAACTCGCCCAGGTCGTGCACTGCAACAAAGGGTTTCATCGATCCCCTCTGCTGGCGGCGATGATTATGGTCTACTTGGGCCTCTTCAAGACGGTGCAAGAGGCCCTGTCCCACCTGGCGTCCATCCGAGACATATGGCCTGGATGGCATCACACCCGCGATCTGAGGGATGATGGCAGATCCTTGTCAAGAGCCTATGACTGGGCATGTAAGACAGTGCAAGGGCGGGAGCAGGGCATGTTTGCGGCTGTAGCCACTCCGGCTGCCAGCGGCCAACGGTGCGATCTCCCGGCAGATGGTGATCTTGAACATTCATCCCACGATGGCGGATTTCTTCCGCAGCGCACGCAACATTGTCGAGGAGTTGGCCAATGGGCCTCGCACGTGCAGAACTCGCTGAGAGTTTAAACCCCTAAACCCCTAAACCCTAAACCCCTAAACCCCCAAACCCTAAACCCTAAACCCTTAAGGCTTCCGGTTGCGAGTCAGGGCTTGGAGGGCTCACGGACCCCATCGCTGGCGCAGCCTCATGTTTATCCTTTATCATCAAAATAGCCCCAAAGCCTCAAATAATAGGATCCTCTTTAAGGGGGTTTAGGGTGCTAGGTTCCGTTGAAGGGGGTTTAGGGTCTACGTTTAGCATCAAAATAGCCCAAGAGCCTAGGGTCTTTGGGCCCAGAAGCCTTAAAATCTGAGTCCTTTTGAGGGTAAGGGTATTGCTGCACCCCCGCAAACTCAGAACCTTGCCCCCAACGCGATACCAAAGACCCTAACACACCCCTAAGCCCTAAGCCACAAACCACAAAAATCCCTAACCCTAAACCACAAACCCCTAAACCCCCTAAACCCCTAAAGTCCTAAACCCCAAACCCTGAACCCCTCAACCCCCCGAACCCTCCCTCCGAACCCGAGAGCCTCAACCGACCCCCACAAGGACTGCCTGCTCTCCGTGGGCGGCTGTAAGCGAAAGGGTGCGCAGGACGGCCGCTGTCTCTTGCAATGTGGGTAGTCCTCTAACTTAGGGTTTCTTTTTAGGTCCCCATGTACGTATGTATATATTTATTTATTTATAAATATACATACACATATATATATATGTATGTATATATATATATAGACATAGATAGATATATAGATAGATAGATAGATAGATAGACAGATAGGCAGATACATAGATAGAGAGAGAGAGAGAGTACGACACTCTCATAACATGGACCTTACAAGGGACCCTGGTTAAGAGAGCTACATGTGTAGGAGCTTCAGTTCAATGGTTTTTTTTATAACTCTTTGGGGTTTAGGGCGTTCTGTTTCAGGGTTTAGGGCCTAATTCAAGCTTTACTTAGGGTTTAGGGTTTAGGTTTTGTTGGTTCTTTCTTGTTTGCTGCTAAGATCCGAAACCCAAAACCCCTAAGATCCTAAACCCTAAACCCTAAACGCATGTTCGGTCTTCTTGTTCTGTGGACCTTCGAGGCTTCCACTCGATTTACTTCATCGCCCCTTCACTGCAGATTCTAAAGCTACGGTTTAGGGTTGAGGTTTAGGGTTTAGGGTTTAGGGTGAGCCTAAAGCCTAAACCCCTACACCCCTAAGCCAACCCTTGTACAAGCTTCTGCGTCCCTCAAGCCCTAAACCCCTGAACCGTTCAGGGCCTTTGAAGGAACCCCAAACACTGAAACCCTAAAGCCCTAAACTCTCATACGCCTAGACCCTATAGAATAGACTCTGAGCTCTAAGCCCTAGACACTGTAAACTCTAAGCTCGAAGCCTCTAAACCCTAAACCCTATAAACTCTAAGCTCTAAGCCCTAAAAACCCTATAAACCCTATGAACTCTAAACCCCAAAGGGCTCTAAGCTCTAAGCCCTATAAACCCTATAAAACCATATAAGCCCCAAGCCCTAAACTCTAGAAGCCCTAAACCCTATCCTGAGTCCGATTTTGGAATTCGACCCCCAGGTTCCTCTTTGATGCTGAGCGAATCCGTCATACCATACGGTTTGGGGTCTACCTGGACCCCAAACGTATGTAGAATAATAGCCTTTTTATGGGTTTTGGGCCATGCGCTTATTTTTTGGGGGTTTAGGGTTTAGGCTTTGAGGGGTTCAACTGGGGTTTAGGGATGTTTAGGGTTTAGGGGTTTAGGCTTTAGGGTTTAGGGTGGCGTAGGGTTTTAGGGCTTCAGGGTTTAAGGCCTAACTGCTTAGTATTTGGGCCATCATTGACCTAAACTCTCCGAAGCCCGAAGCCTGGATCCTAGACCCGAAGACCCCAGTAGTAAGGCTCTGATTCAAGCTTCAGGGTTCAGAGTTTAGGGTTTAGGGTTCCCCCTTCATGTGAGTTTCTGTATCTCCTCTCTAATCCAGTAGTGTAGCTTTCTGAAGAATTATCGTAGCAGTACCTCTTGTAGCTCCGACACATAGTTATGGCAGTATACCCGGAGCCGATTGAGCCTTACATGTGCATACACTTACATGTTAAAGTCTGTATTGCTCACCAGGCTAAAACCCGAAACCCCTAAGACCCTAAACCCTAAACCCCTACACCCTAAACCTTAGACCCTAGACCCTGAACCCTAAACCCTAAACCCCTAGACCCCTAAACCCTCAAAGCGCTAAATCATAACCTGGTTCCCCTCCTCTTAGCGACTCCAATATCCCTTAATTAAGGAATATACCTTAAACTATAATAGGAACCCTAACCCTAAGGGTCCATGTACCCAAATAGTATATACATTGGCCCTAAAGTACCTATATAGGGACTACATTAAGGCCAAAGTATGTGCTATTTGGGTACATGGACCCTTAGGGCAATAAGATTTAAGGTATATTCCTTAATTAAGGGATATGGGAGTCTCTGGGCTAGCACCGTCTAGGCGCGAGGGCCGTGGGGCTTGGGAACTTTGGGGTTTAGCGTTTAGGGTTTTCAGGGGGTTTACGGTTCCGGGTTGAGGGGTTTTTAGGGGTTTACGGTTCCGGGTTGAGGGGCTTTTTAGGGGTTTGCGGTTGCCGGTTTAATTTTTTTTTAGGAGTTTAGGGTTTTGGGTTTAGGGTTTTTAGGTTCAGGGTGTTGGGTTTAGTGCTTGTTTAGTTGGAGGCCCGTTGTCTCAACAAAGAGTCTAGGACATTTTCAGGTCCGTAGTTACCGTTATAGGAGCCTTGTAGAAGGTGTATATACCTTCTGGAAGTCTTAAAGGAGTCCTACATCCCCTCATCTCCCCACCTGTAGTTTCCTTTAAAAAGGGAAGTAGGACACAGGGGGGGAGCCTTATCCTGAAGGGGTTTTGTCGTGGCCAACTCTCCAAGCTGAAGGGTTTAGGCTTCAGGACGTGGTTCAGGCCTTTAATTAAAGGAAACTACAGGTGAGGAGTTGAGGGTATGTAGGGTTTCTTTAAGGCTTCCATAAGGTATATAGACTTCGATAAGGCTCCTATAACGGTAACTACCCACCTGAAAATGTCGTAGATTTAATGTATCCCAATTCAGAGGTATTGGGTTTGACGGTTTGACTCGACGTGAATCTATCAGGAAACGTTTCAATGCATATATGGTTTTTAACAGTGTTTGTGTCTAGACACTTATGCTTCCCACCCTACAGGCTCAAACTCTACATCCCCTTACTGAACAACCCATGGTTGCAGTGGGTGTGCTACGACAGGAGCAATGCGAGGATGGTTGG